TGTGTCGTCCGGCGGCGGCGCCGTCGTCGTCGTCGCCGTCGTCGTATGTCGCCATCGTGGTGGATGTGGATGTGGTTGTGGTTGTGGTTGTGGTTGTGGTTGTGGTTGTGGTTGTGGTTGTGGTTGTGGTAGTGGTAGTGGTAGTGGTAGTGGTAGTGGTAGTAGTAGTAGTAGTAGTAGTAGTAGTGGTAGAAGAACCTAGTACAAAGTAGCATCGGTAGTAGCAACTGTAATGTCCAATATCCGCATGAAATTGGCAGACACACCAAACCATGCAGCAGCAAGGCAAACCTTTTGCATGGTGGATGGGTGTGGCTGCCGACTCCCAGAGCCGAAGCCCTTCGGTCGAAGGTTCGCTCCCGAATTGGGGTGCGGACAATCAGGGCCCAAGGAACCTGGAGTCCCGGACACCCAACCAAACAGGACCTAGGTAAAGAAAGCCTGTGCCGTTCAACCGAAAGCCGAGGCAGGAGGCAGCCACAGCTTGACCGGGCGCCCTGCACGGGCCGGGCAGGAGACCAGTCGAAGATGCGATTGACCAGGATCGATCTCACAAAAGTTGAATGTGAAAAGATCGACTCCACAGAGAGCTGAAGATCTGGGGTGAAACCTGCCCAAGTGTTGAATTCACGCTTGACGTGGGAAGGTGCAATCTGCATGCCATGGCGATGCAGCTGAAAAAAATCTCCATCAAGATCACCTAGGTAGGCAACTTCTTCGATTTGTCGCTGGCGCGAGTAAACGTTCCCCTGGCTGTCGCTGACCAGGGGGGTGCGAAGGTTCGGGACGTATGCAGGGGCTTTCTCCATGAAGTGGCAAAGGATCCATGTGTGCCAAACATCTCGAGGGCCGCAATGGGTTTCTCGGGGCAGCCCTTGTCAAAGGCCCAGGCATGTGGAACGAGAAGACGTCACGCTTCGCCGGGTTCCCCGAGAGGTCCTCCAGAATGTTTATGATCAGGAGATGCTTGGCCCGGGCCATCTGAACGCAACGAGCGGAGCTGCATGCTGCGGGAGGCCCCCTCCTCTTGCATGCGTCTGTTGGAGCTCTTGGCCTGCTCCGAAGAGACCTGCGCATCACCTGTGTTGCCCGGCCCCTGCAAGTAGTTCCGCTTGAGCAGGCCTCTCAGCTTCTCGGTGTCTAGGCGGCGGAGGATCGATGGATGAGGCAGGATCTCAAATTTAGAAAAGGATTAAATTCAAATTTATTCCCCTCCCGGGCGGGGCGTAGACATCGCATCCAGATGGCTTAAATTGGAATTTAAGCCTCTGTACCAAGCAGCGGCCACCAGTCGAGCGCCACGGGAAGGATTTAAATTCGAATTTATGCCTTTCTCTCGTTTAGGGCTTAAATTCGAGTTGAAGCCATAGGCAATCAACGAAGATTTGTCCAGGGAAAGGTCTGGCTATCTAGGTGTTAAAGGGTCTAGGATTCAAGGGAAAGGCAGGGGCAGTAAAGGACAGCCTAGTAAAGGGCAGTAAAAGGCAGTAAAAGGCAGTAAAGGGTAGCAAAGGCAGAAAAGGGCAGTTGAAGGCAGTAAACAGGTTCGCAAAGGGCACTAAAGGGCAGTAAAGGACAGTAAAAGGCAGTGAAGGGCAGTAAAAGGCAGCAAAGGCAGTAAAAGGCAGTAGAAGGCAGTAAGGGTAGAAAAGGGCAGTAAAAGGCAGTAAAGCGCAGTAGAAGGCAGTAAAAAGGGGCTGCTGTCTTCCTCTACCGGAACGAGGGCCATATCGACTCAAGATAGCTGGAAAATGTGGATATCTGCACAGACACTTATCCATACATAGATACAAGGATACATATAAAGAAGTGCAAAGAAGATCCATAGCTACATACACAAATACATTAAGTTTCAATGTTCTGAGGAAACCTTAAACCTTGTCGAATCCAAATAGTATAACAAATACATTAAGTTTCAATGTTCTGAGGAAACCTTAAACCTTGTCGAATCCAAATAGTATGAGCCCACCTAAGGCGGAACACTGGAAGGTTTAAACTCGAATTTAAACCCTGCTAGGACCAACGCCTGAGCAATTTAATTCGAATTTACACACTACGTCGAAGACAACTTGCAGCTTTTAATTTGGATTTAAGCTGCAGACGGCATTGCCGGATTAAATTCGAATGCAACCCTGGCATTGGAAAGAGGCTGTAAATCCGAATTTAAGACCTCCCAACCCATGGGAGATTAAATTCGAAGTTATGCTCCCTCCATACCGGGACAAAATCCAATGTGGAATTAAATTCGAATTTACGCCTTTGCCACTGTAAAGCATTAAATTCGAATCTAAGCCCTCCAGCCGGGCACCCGACCCCCACGCAGAAAAGGCATAAATTCGAATTTAAATCCACATTGAATCTGAAATTCTACCATAATCGAGGATCGACGCCCCGGCGGCATCGTCCACTTCCAAGGCGCCTGCCTGCAACTGCGGGCGATATATGACGTCCAGCTCGGGCACCACCTTGGCGTCGAACTCCTCCGTGTCCTTACGCTTCCTCTCGTCCACCGGGCCGGCGGCCGATCTCCTTATCTCAAAGGGCTGCCGCCAATTCAGGATGGCTGCCAGTCCTGCTTCATCGGGGGGCACTCCCCCTCCAGCTTCTCCGCGAAGATCACATCATCGAAGGGCTGGCAGGCCACCACGTACACGAGCGAGAGGGCCGAAGGCACCTGGTCGGTAAAGCTCACCTCCGGGGGGTGGTGGCGGGGCCAGGCACCAAAAATGTCCGTGAGGCGAGGCCATTCACCACTTCACCTCGCCCAGCTTGATCTCGGCCGTCGTGGGGCCTTGTTCTGAGCGAGCCCAGTCCGCAAAGCACATTGGGCACATGAGTTTCACCTCGCTCTGCCCCGGGTCCAGGCGGTGGCTGCTGTGCCCGATGCCCTGGCGCTTGCAGCTGTACTCCACCGAGAGGAAACGGTCCTGCTGCAACTGCCTCTTGTAGATCACGGCTGCCCGGGTCCAAATCTTTGTCTTCATGCTCGAGAAGATCTAAGCTAGCTCCGCCTGAGCTGCTTTGCTTGGTCTGCAGCTCGCTTGCCGATACCTGGGCAGTCTGCAGAGACGCCTCTGAGGAAGTAGAGCTTCCCTTCCAAGACCACCGCAGGTTCCTGCTCCAGGTCAGGGTGACATCCCACGGGTCAGTGCGCGGCTGGGCCGCACTTTGCTCATGAGTCACGTGTAGCAGGCAGGGTCGTGGCATCGCGGGGTCTCTGTGTCCATCGGGGTCGGCCTCGAAGGGCCACCCTGCATCTCGGTGTCCTTGGCGATCTCGGCCACCTTGACTGGGTCGTCCCGCTTCATAACCAACTTGACCATGGCCATGTCCATCTCTTTGAGTTTGTCGGGAAGGGGGGTATCATCAACATCCAACCGGGCAAGGGAGGACAGCACCGAGTTAACCTTTTCATCCTCGTGAGCTTGAAGATTGTGGAGAAGGGTCGTCCTGCAATTCCTGATCAGAGTCACGATCCTCACGTGGCTGTGGGATGCTTTCCACAGTCTCCATGCTGGGTGCCATGTTTTCCGAGGAATATGCCATGATCAACGGTCGCGATAAGAGAAAAGGGAGCGAATGTTGGTAAAACCTCTGAGGGACCTGAGGTCCCGCGCACTTGAACCAAAATTTGCAGAGCCATCTTGGCAGATGTCTCCAGACATAACTCTTGCCGTTTGGCAGGCTCGTAGCAGGTAGTAAGTGGTAGCAGCATGTCAGGTCTTTAAGCTGAGGTATCGTTTTTTGGTTTCTGCTATCGTGAAAACAAGCCAGACGAGCCTTAACCAAACCAGGGACATCCTGCAGACAACGGAGATGTTCGGAGAGATTTGGCTTTCCGTCATTTCTTGTCGCATGTTTTTCCGCGCAGCCGTGGGACGGAACATGCTGGCTGTCCCGCTCAGTGAACCCCCAAGTACAGTACTGACTGACAATACCCGCACGCGCTCAACGACCATCCACGACCCCTGAGACCGCGGCAACCTGCGGGGTACCCAAGAAAAGCCAAGAGTTCAGCGGCATGTGTGGAGAAGCCAGCCTGGTCGTTGTTCGGCTGGGGGGGCAACTGCGACCAATCCGGCAGGTCTGGGGCCGCTGCTTGCCACTTGGATCTGTAAACTCGAAGGTTGTTTTCGCTTGTCCGGCGGAGGCTTCATCACTCGTGGCGAGCCTGCAACAGCCGATGGTCTGGCTGTGCTCGTGACAGAGATGCTCGCGAGAAATGGGTGTCTGAGTCGAATGCCAAAGCGTCATCAGCAAATTCACAGGAGGTGGATTTGGCTTTCCTTAGGTAGTATGCACGACACAATGGAGTTTGTGGAGTCTCACTGTCTCACATCAAAGCAAAGCAAACATTTTGCACATTAACATCTTACTCCCAAGCCTGTATTGCAGATCCTACGTTTAAGGCGGTTCCACACAGCCTGCCTGTGCCTTCGGTCGTTCAAAGGCTGAGGGTCCTGGGACGTTGAAGTCGACAGTCGCCTGGCAGGACTCGGTGTCCAGCTCAGCTTTCCTTGGGGTATCACTGCAGCTGGCCAGCTTCTGACTCTCACCAAGCGTGATGCACGGAAAGCTCGAAACTGACGAGAGTCACGACCCAGGACTGTGAGTTTCCACTGGGCTTGATGGTCAGGGAAGTCCCTGCGATGGTCACCTAGCAGCTGGCATCAGCTAGCACGACCGGGTTGAGGGCCGAAGGACCGGCCTGCTTCTTGTCACCATCGTGCATGTCTGCAAAGACCCCATGAAGCTCCTCACGCCCACAGAAGCACTTTCCCACATGGATTCCCAACATCTCGTTTGTTGCACCATCCTGGGGGCAGTTTCGGCCAAGTACCGACACCGCCAAGAGACCCAGCATCCTAAGCAGAGTTTCTGTGCCATCACTGTAGGGTCAGCTGTAAATCAACAACAATATACAACTGGAAGTTCTCAAGTAAAGTCTCGTCTGCTTGCAGCACGAGAGGCATTGTGACCTGCATTCTCGGTATCGAACACGGCTCAGGAGCCAAGCTTCGAGCCAAGCGCCTTTGGCAAAGTCCACCACACGAGCGAGCGAGCGAGCGAGCGAGCGAGGGGAGAGAGGGAGAGAGGGAGAGAGGGAGGAGAGAGAGAGAGA